TTGGGTTAATTTAGTCTGATTTTTAATACACTGTTTTGATTTCCTGCAGATTTAGCCATTTGCAGGAAATCAAAATGTTTGTTTCTCAACTCTGTCCTTAATGTCTTTTTCCTTGTTCATTCCAAGATCACTTTATGTGCTTCTGTGGTTTTCATGTTTTATAACTTCTTGCAGGTATACATAAACTTAACTATAACGGTTTCAGGGCCTTTTTCTGGAGTAGTATCTTATAAAACTAACTAAAAAAACCTTATCTCCCAGTGTTGGAAAAACATACTGTATCTGATAACAAATTTTACCGTGACTTTAGAAATGATGCATGCAAACAGAATTAGGGTTTTGCAGATTTCATTCAAATTCTTCAAGCTCCTGCTATAGATCACATTGATCTGCTGAAAGCCAGCTCTTCCAAAGGTGTGGGCTACTGTGGAAGGAGAGAAATGAGCAATGGAAAAACCAGCTTAAGCTGTAGAAAGCTAGAGCTAATCAAAAGCAGTGGGATTTTCTGGGTTAAAATTGCAACGGACTTTTTACAGCTTCTTTCCCTTTTACAAAAGTATTCACAGGTCTGTTTTCTGCCAATTTCCACCAAGTAGAAGCACCTTTAAAGTGTCTCCTTGGGCCTTACTGCATGGAGGATAGAACTGTAAGCTTCACAGAATGTTTCCATAGTTCTTTCCTTCTGAAGGAAAACTGAATCTGATGCTCAAAGTCCACAGAAGTTTATACTCACTGAAGACAATGTCTCACTCTATTCCCTGTATCATCTTCTGTGGTTAAGCCTTAGTCAACAGTCACTCTTAACTTTTAATGGATCTAAAATTGAATGCAACCCCTCCTCCTTAAGTAGCTCTTTTTTTTTTCTCTTCTATATAAAGGTTGATGAAAAGAAGCTGAATGCATAAACCAGACTGCTCAGCATTTCTTCCTAGCTGTATTTTCTCAAGCCCTTTCAATGGGTAATTAGCCTTTAGGAACATGTCTATTTTACTTGTCCCTCACTGCTTTCTGTCTCAGTGATGTCATTCTGCTTTACCTAAGCTCTCAGCTTTGTTGGATGGTATTGTTACCATACTTATGGTGAGGGTCAACAGTGCTTGCAATGTTTGCTTTGTAATGCATGAAAAAAACTTAATTGTTCATGTTGTTTCAGTAGGCTTTCCAAATAGACTTTCCTATTAAACAAATTTTAAAAAATTGGCTGGAGGCAATGGTAGAAACAATAATGACAGAGAACAAAAAAGTTTAACGAAGATTTGAGATTTACACACTAACAAAGGTTTAGTTCATTTAACATAGTTTTAGATTTAGGAGAGGAAACAAAATCTACTGTTCTATTGAGCAAGCATTTTTATTTTTCACTAACCTCCTCTCTGTACAACAAATTAAGTCAGTCTCGCCTGCACGTGGATATGCATACAGGAAGAGTAAAACTATTATTTATTGCAGATGCTTGTCAGTATATAAGATAGAGGTAGTGTAGGGCACAAGGTGCCCTATCATCCTGTATTGAGTCTGGGACATATTTAGCTTGAATAAGGTTACACATGAACATTGTATCAGCTAGGAAACCCAGTAGAGGTTGCTAGTGTTGAATTTCTGTATAAATGGACATGTATGGCCAGTAAGGATGGAGAATCCCCATGGTGGAAGCTGGAGTACTTCCAGGGGAAAAACCCTCAGCAAAGCTCAACTTGTCATGATGTCCTTTGTGAGAGGGAAAAAATTAACATGAGCATTCAGGAGAAATGAGGTGAATGTAGTTAGTGATGATGAGAGACTGTAAAAATCTTATTGCCTGCAAGTCACGTTTCACCAGGTAGTATTTCAAACAAAACACTTATGGCTCTGACATCTAGAAATAATTTGATAACAGAAAGAGCTGGGAGAGAAGTGCATAAATAGAGTGATAATACAACTCATATATGTAAATTAAGAAGTGACATTCTTTTCCAGGGAGGCATTGGTAGAGAGGTTTTTTGGTTTGTAAGAAATTTGTTCATTAAGGGTAGTAAAAAGGCTTTGTTATTCTCAAAGAAAATAACTCATAGAAACTGTGCAACAACAAAACTAGAAGTCAAGGTTATCTTTGGTTAGAAGTCTAGGTGCGGAATCTCACCATAGGAGGTGATTAACAGGTTAAGTGATAGGAGCATATCTGCATACCTCAGAGGAGCACAGAGGGACAATGCCAAGCTGATAGGCATCTAAGTAATACCCTGTTCCCACAGCTCCCAGGTCTCAAACCTGTAGACACAAAGAGGCACAAAGGCAGGTGGAAATCCGAATTGCAGACTCAAAGGAGGTGTGGAACACATTGTGGCATGCAGGGGAAGAATATTTTGGAATTGTACTGGATGTATTATGGAATGTTTAGAGGCAGAACTAAGGGTGGGGAAAAGGAAGGATCTAGCTGACAAGGTAATTTAGGTGAAAGGGATAGCTGTCTACTACAAAGTTATGTTAGCATAATTTTAGTTTAATACAGTTTTAATCTGTTAATTACATACTTTTTTTAATTAAAAAGTTTTGGTCTTCAGGACGATTAGAAGTTAAATTTATACCACTAATTCTCTTTACTGACCAGTTTTATTTCTTATATAAAATAAGCACCTTATGTGCTTATTTTAAAGTTACAGAACTTTAAAAATTGTCTTTATGAATTTGTGGGGCTTCCTGTTTCTTTTCTATTTCATCAATTTATACACAGGTTTTATAAATAATTTTTGAAGTTTAACAGCTAGTTAAAAGTAAGTTAATGCAATCTTTATGAAGAGTTGTTGGCATATTTTAACTAGTCCAGAGGTTAGAATTTTCTTAACAATATTTTTGAAGAGTTAGTTAGGAAATCAGTAGCATTTGTTTTTTTTTAGAGAGAGGAATGGAGGAGTGCAGTCAGGAGATGAGAAACATACAGAATGAAATGAATAGTCTGCTAAGAAGAAAAAGAAAGTGTTGCCTTATCCATCAGCCTTAGACATAGAAATAAAATAGCAAATGATCAATAAGAAGAATTTGGTTCTCAGGGTTCAAATCTGTTCAGGGTTCAAATGGTTCAAAACTTGCCCATAATTTGAATCTGAGTTGTAATTTAATGTTGGTGTTCATGTTCATAATTTAACATTGGTTTAATGTTCTATTTAAGCCTCCTGCAGAAGCTAGGCACTTTGATGTCCATAGGCACATGAGATTTTCCTGTTAAAGTGCTTGGTTGGCCTACAGTCCTATCTCTGGATGTATGCAGGACTGGTACCTGGGCAGGAAGGAACATACACATTGTGTTTAAGACCTTGGAGGAGACAGAATTTTCCGCTCAGATTTTCTGAGGGTCCAATAAGGCAACAGTGTTCTCAGTCTCTTAAGTCATATTAACCCTGGGATCATCAAATATGACAGCTTTATTCACTACGATTTAAAAATGCAGTTGCAGGAGGTAAATGCTGCATGAGTTTTTGATCATATATGTTTGGTTAGAGTAAAAAATAGGAAAAAAAGATTAAATTCTTCTACAGAACGCCTGTTCTAAGCAGCTGGTAAATTTTCCACTCCTTCGAAAGCAATACCAGAAGACTTTATGTTTTCTTAGTCTACTTGCAATTGTCATGCAAAAGATATCTTGGAGCCCTGCAGTTAAGTCATTCAGGTGGTAACGAATCACAGAATGGTTTGGGTTGGAAGGGACCTTCAAAGATAATCCAGCCCAACCCCCTTACTAGAGGCAAGGGCATCTTTCACTAGACCAGGTTGCTTAAAGCTGCTTCGAACCTGACCCTGAACACTTCCAGTGGTGACATATCCATAGTTTCTCTGGACGGCTTTTTCCAGTGTCTCACCAATATATCATAAAAAAGATTGCTCTTTATGTTCTATCTAAATTCACTTTCTTTTAATTTAAAACTAGTCTGCTATGTCCTGTCACTACAGGCCTTGATACAAAGTGTTTTCCTGTCTTTCCTATAAGGCCCTTTTATATACTGGGAGATAGATTCTGCTCTTTATGTATGTGAAATAGAGTTTCCAAGGTTGCTTATGCAATTTGTATTTTGTCTTTTTGGAGAAGGGAGACACTAAGAGCAAGTAAGCGAGTATGTGAGTGAATGAGGGGAGTGAATTGGGTATCCTCAGTTATTACACCTCTGCCACTCCATCAGATTGGGTGTAGATGGCTAGTTCATAGCTTTTAACAACTGCCTCCAAGGAGATACCGAGTGGCTTTAACTTGAATCAGAGAGAGAATATTAGGACTTAAGATCTAAGTTGGGCTTCCGAATTTGTACTTCGTACTCAGTATATTGGCTGTAACGAATCTTGGCAACACCTAAGTATAGTTCTTGGTCTGGACAATTAGCTTCAAGTAGTTTTTCGTCCTTCTTCTCCCAGACATTAAAAAAGAAAATATGTCACATGATTTTTTAATTTCTTTAATAAACTACATTCAGTGGTGCTTTTAAAAAGTTCATAATTTATGTATTTTTTTAGTTGATATTTAATCTTTAAGTGTCCTATACGCTAAAAAAAACAGTGAAAATATAATACATGAAAAATCTGCAAATTCTGACTCCTAGCTGAATAGGGATGACTGATGAGCAAGTGAAGATTCATAATATCTTGAATAAAATAGCCATATATCAATACAAATAAAATTTAGTAGATTTTTTGTCTTGAATTTGCTCAGTTGTTGAAATTACATTTTAGCCAAATTGAATAATCGACAGTAATTATGTTGATATACTATTATTATGATAAAATCACTTAAAAGAAAGAGAGCTTTCTAAAAGTATTGAGCAAGTTTGCAGAATGTTATAGAAAATGTTCTTGATATTTTTCTGCTAATACAGCTGAAGAAAAAAAACTAAAAAAGATATTAAACCAGGTATAAGAAAGAATGTTTCTTTTCTGACAGCATTCTTGAATAATATCTATTTTTTAATGACAAAAAGGAAGTGACAGAGAGAGAAGAATGCCCATTCATACATATATTCTGAGTTCTCTCATGTTACGTTGGACTGTATAGAAAATGAGACTCCGTCCTTCTTACTGTGCTCTCAACAGTTGAACTACACTGTTCAGTGCATTCTGACTTGTCTAATTGGGTCTGACCAGACTTCAGAGCTTGAAAACTCCATCATTGGAGGAAAACTTGCATAATTAATAAGGAAGTATGTAATTTCTGTGCTTGCTTTTAAAAAGAAGGTAGCTTTAATCCTTATTCTTCCGTAAATATTTATCGGCATGGATCCTTGGTCTGATTCTTGTTTATCCATCTTCCTCTATTGTAATTTCTTGCAAGTCATAATCATTTAATGAAAGCTCACAATCATAAAATTTTGTTTTAAATAGAGAATTTAACCAGTTTCTTAGTATATGTAGAGTTTTACATTGCTATTTGTTTTAAGTCCAAAGAGTAAGTCCTATATTACTTTCAGGACTAAGGTAATCTCAGAGGAGAAGGACCTCAAAAGGAATTAATTGTCTAAGTATTTTAAAATCTTGGTCTGAGACTTGATAGGGACCAACTACATTTATCCCTCCTATCTGTACGTGAAGTTTCATCCTCCTGCCGATAAAGGGGAACAGAAAATAGATTTTGGTTTTTTCACACTTCATCATGTCAGGCATAATCTTTTGACACTATTTACATCTCTTAAAGAACCAAGGGAACTTTTCTGCACACACTACAGGAGGAGGAAAGCCAAGCTAGTTAGTAGCCACAGCTGCAAGTGTTAGCAAAAAAAGCTTTTCTTAAAACCATAATTAATTGAGCTGTTATGCTTTTTATACATTTAGTAAAGCATTAGAAGTTGAAGCTTGCACATTACACAAAGCTGGCTGATGTCACTGGACACAAATATTTTGACTGAGTATGTTAAGTTTATCCTTCATATTGTCATTTTATTCTCTGCAAAATTGTAATTCAAAATAATAAGCAAGTAAAAATGAAAATTACAGCTTCTTATATCCAGTGAGATTTCCTTTCCTCTAGTCATAAATACGAATATGTCTAAATATACAAACAAACACATACAAACACAGAGAAAATCTAACAGTTCCTTAGACTAGCAAGGATTAGCAGTAAAACTTCAACAAAGAGTGTTTTGGGTCACTATACCTAGAGCTGACCAACATTATAGAGGAGTACTAGCTGAGTACTACATGGAAAAGGGCTTTCTATCCCTTTTATCCTATCCTTGAGCCATACTGTTCAGCCTGGTCTCAATTTCTTTTATGGACTCAGATTGGGATTCAGAATTTGACAAAATAAATCTCTGCTTCTTATGACCATTCAGAACAAAAAATCCCTGAACCAACAACAACGTTATGCAACTACTACTAGGTTCTATTTCAGTCCTCACTAAGATGCAATAATGTGGGACTACAGAAATCTTCCATGTGCAAAAATACTTCTGTAAGTTCATCTTCAATGTGTCATCTTCATTTACCTAATCCACCTTCAACTTAAAAATTCACTGACTTGAATTTAGGTCATCATTTTTATTAAGCAATAAAAGTATACATTTTTATAATACCTCTCCAAAAATGTCTGTCTAACATTCAATGGAACAGTTATTTCACACTAACTGATAAATGAGAATAGATAAGTAGAGTCAAAATATTTATAGACACTTAATAAGAGTAATGGAACAAGTATAGAGCATGATAAGATGCACACAATCACTAGTTGCAGGAGTCAGGATTGCCTCAGGCAGAGTTCTTGAACTCATAAAGTTTCCTCAGAGATTGGCCTAGGTGACCCTAAGCCTGCAACTGCTGACATTAGGTGATGTTATTAGATGTGGTGTTTTAAACATTTTCATTTTGAGGAACACAGACTATCCTTTTAATGAGAAGACAAGCAGAAACTGCTTCAAAGTAAAGAAATGAGATAAGAATAATAGGAAATGCCTGTCTCTGAATCAAAAGTCTTAATGTGATCCGTAAAATAGAAACACAGGAGAATTCCTTTTAATTCCTCTGTTGGTTAGACATATTTCATCTTGAATTCCTTCCAGTGTAGAAACAAATTTTTTTGATTGAAGCACGCTGGTGTTGTAAAGATATGATAAATATTGTGTATGCAACATACAGCAGAAAAATTGTTCCTGATAACAGTGTATGAATTACTTTGAATGGAAAAAACGTATTTTTTCAGGCAAAGGAAAAAAAGAAAAAAGCCTAACAGTATTTTTTTTTTTTTTCAAAACCTAGATGAAACAGACAATTATTATCTTTTAACAGGCAAACATTATGTTATGAGCATATCTGACATAATTTGTGAATGACATTACTGAAGAATTCACACCTTGGTATTGAAGCTGTCTTGAAGCTAATTGTGCTGGCTTTGTCTGGGGTAGAGTTAATTTTCTCCACAGTGGCTGATATGGGGCTGTGTTTTGGATTTGTGCTGAACACAGTGTTGGTAATATAGACATGTTTTATTATTGCTGACCAGAGCTTACACAGACCCAAGGCCTTTTCTGCTTTCCATACTGCCATGCTGGCAAGGAAGTTTGGCGTACATGGGAGGTTAGGAAGAGACATAGTTGGGACACGTGACCCCAGCCAACCAAAGGGATATTCCACACCATATGACTTCATGCTCAGTATATAAAGAGGGGGGAAGAAGGAGAAAGACAGGGAACATTTGGAGTGATGACATTTGTCTTCCCAAGTAACCATTACGTGTCATGAAGCCCTTCTATCCTGGAGATGGCTGAACACATGCCTGCCCATGGGAAGCAGTGAATTAATTCTTGTTTTGTTTTGCTTGTTTGTGTGACTTTTGCTTTACCAGTTAAACTGTCTTTATCTTAACCCGGGACTTTTGTGGCTTTTACTCTCCCTATTTTCTCCATGATCCTGCTGGTGAGGGAGTGAGGGAACGGCTGCATGGTGCTTGGTTGCTGACTGGGGTTAAACTATGATGCTAATGACGAAAGATCAACGTCTACTCTGTGCATGAAATAAGAGAGTCAGCTCACTCAGTGTTCTAGCATGAAGGGAAAGTGGTCCTTGACACAAAGGAAACTTAAAGGGGAGAGTATGAAATGAGAATGTGTAGCAGGTGGAAAAAGGGGAGACTGTCTGATAAGGGGAAGTTCAAGATGTCTGTGCAATCATGTAGCATAACGCTAGATGCTACCGTTCTTTTTAAATAAGTAATTTAACAGCTTTTTGGTATTCTCACTACCAAAAAGAAAACCCTAAACCACTACACATTTCCTGGTAAAATATTTATTACTGCTGCTGTTATTACTTCTGCCAAACTTTCCATTCCTTGTGTAAGGTAAAACATACGCAGGTACTCTTCCTAAGAATGCCAAGGCAGTGGAAGGATTAAAATAAAAGTTTATTTTAGATGAAAGGACCACTTTTTTACAATGCAGCATACATCAGACCTTCAGGGGCAAAAGGCCTCCTCTGGGCTTCTCGTATCTTCTCTCTCTCCTCTCCCACCCTCTCTGGTCCTAGGAGGCCTTGTACATGTCTGGAAACATGTTATCTATCTGCATACCACAGTGAGCTATCTTGCTCACAGCTTTTCCCTGTAACTTTCTGTGAAATGCAGAAGGAAAAAAAAAAAACTTCTAACCTGTTTGAAAAGGCATTTTACAGTTTTTCTAAGCGAAACAGGTTCTAACTTTCCGTTACAAATTCTTGCATGGTTGCACCTATCCCTAGCACTTGTTTTTAGTTTTTCTGTTCTATCGCATTCCGATACATGCAAAGAATTCGTATCATATCTCCCAATAACTCTTTCCGGTCTTTAACATGGAAAATGCACCTCTTTACACCTTTAATAGGAGAAAATTGGTCTTTTAAATTGAAGTTACATTGTGCTGCCTGGCAGGCTAGCACAAATACAGCAAATGGCAAAATTAAAAACCCCTGCTTTTTCTCTTTCTCCAAGGTGAGGGGGAACTTGCTGCCATTACTGGCAGCACTGCTGAGACAGACAATCCTTAGTTGGGGAGGAGATATTGGAGCAGTTCTCTGTTCTTTATTTCCTCTTATTCTTGTAGAGATGGAACCGCCTTCGTGTAATTAGCCTATATTTGCACCATATACAGAATGTTATGCACAAGTTGGATACATTTTTTTTGTTCCCTTGATAACCACTTATAGACAAATCTCTAAGTTCCATCCATTCAGTGGTCTATAATTGGCCATTTATGTTCTGCATATTATTCCTTTTTCTTAAAGGAAAGCAAGAGACAAAAAAAGAGAAAAAATAGTAAGAAATAGTTGAAGACCGTCTTGTAAAATATATCCAATCCTACACACTGATGTCAGAGGATTTAACTCTGTAGTCTGCCTAAACCTAAGGTGAAAAAAGATGGCACTTACTGATGAACTCTATAGGATTATTTTCATATACCTAACTTTTTGTACAGTGAGAAAACCACAGTATATACAACTATTTAACTGCCTGAATCTAGGTTTTTTTTGTTATTTTTAGATATTGTTGCAGAGAATTTGTTTCCACAATATGTGAAAAGAAAATTACACTATTAAACTGTTAATTAATACAAGTGATTCTGGAGCAGACAACTACAGTTCTGTAATGCTCAGTTATGTGGTCCTGCCTTCCTTCAGCTGTCAGATGAAACTTTGATTTTTCTCCATTCTGGGATTATTAACTGCATGATATATGCATTGCAATATAAAACAGTCTCCAGCCAGGCTGTGGCAGGCTTTAGAAAATTGTATTAATTTAGTCTCTTCCCCGTTTTTTCTATATGATATTTCTTTTCCCCTGCTTTCTCAAAGATTACAATGGCTTTCTGGTATGGAATAGAGGGTAGTGAGGCACTATAGCAGGTTGTCCAGAGAAGCTGTGGAAGCCCTGTCCTTGGAAATGTTCAAGGCCAGGTTGGATGGGGTTTTGAAGAGCCTGGTCTAGTGGCAGGTGCTCACAGAAGAGGGGTTGGAATGAGATGATCTTCAAGGTCCCTTCCAACCCCAAACCATTCTATGATTCTGTAATTCTAAGATGGGTTTGATGGCCTTTGC